ATCCTTCTGGGTTCAGTGAAAATACCCTTTTCCTCATGCGCCTGGCGATGCAGATGGAAGCACTTTGCATCTCTGGCCCAGCGGACTCATCCGTCACAGTTGCTGGGCTCAGTTCCTCTGCATCAGGAACTGCAGCCGCACAGAGACGGGCTGACTGGGAGCAGGAGTCTAAGCAGAGCTCTAGAACTGCGACCCCCTTCTTGTCTCACAGACACAGAGATGATAACTCTGCCTTCAGATTTGATGAGAATGATTCCTGCAGGTCTCTCAGACCCTGTCCTAAGAGGAGGCTCTTCATGATGACCATGATGACCAGAGATAGGGTCAGGTTGGACACCGTGCTCAGACACCAGAGGAGTGGACACCCGGCCTCCACTGCCATCCCCCTGTATGCAGAATTCTCTGGGCACTGTCTGTGTCCAAAATCACACCAGGTGACCCTGCTCTGGTCTCTTATCTCTGCTACCAACACCTGAGGATCTGAGGACCTTACAGGGATCAGTGGCTTTGAGGACTGAGCCATTACCAACAGTGTCCTCAGCCTGGTCACCTCTGCACTGAGAGGGCCTTTATCCTGAGGCCACAGAACCCTCCAGGATAAGCATGGGGAGGGTCACAAGGACACTGACACAAGCTATGTCCAGCTCAGGAGTCAAGAACCTTTAAGACCTGACTACAGGAGTCCATATGACCCAGCCCCACATCTGCATCTGTCCGGAGCCCAAAGCTCTGACTGCTGCTCCCTCTCTGTCCTCAACCATAAACCTCCTGGTGTCCCTTTTCTTGTCCTCATAAATCTACAAGCTGCCACCTTCTATCCTGGTTTCCTGGGGTTGACCCTCAGCTGTTTGCTACCCTGCCCTCTCTGAGCCCCTGCCCTTGGGACCCCAGGCTCCTTGGGGAAGGCTGATCTTCTTACAGGAACCAAAAACCAGGGGAAGAAGCTTCTCTGAGAGTCACAAGAACAACCTCAGGCAGGAGGAAAAAGATGGAACCTTGATGCCTGTGGATTCATCCCCCCAGGACAGTGAGTGACCTTGAGCTGCTGACTGTCCAAGGTGACCAGTGTGTGGTTTATTATCCACATCAGGAA